TGTCGAGAAAGTTGTGTAGATGGTGGGGATTTTCTGCATCCCAAAGCTCACAGTGTCCGCGTAGTTCTTCTCGGGCAAGGGCTTGCCCAAGTTCGGGTCCAACCATCCCAAGAATTGGCTGATGGATGGTATGATTAATAAGCTGGGAAGATTCTATTACATTGCATTATCCCTATTATAGTTGATCAAGAGATACAGCAAAAAGCATGAGTAGCACAAGGCGACACCAAGCAGCACTCGCCATACCGCTTTGAAGGGTCTGAGAAGGAGCCTTAGGATTTGGTAAAATTATGGTATGGAGTACTTGGTAAAGACACCATGATCTGGTAGATAGACAACACTTAGTGAGACTATGATGACAGCTGCAATAAGTATCTCTACTTTCCACATAACATCCTCATCAACATTGACAAGGGGTGCTGCCAAGTTGTTGATGACGTGATTCAGCATTGAGTATTGAGCAGCCCTCTCATCTAGTGCAGGTGGGAACGATCTGCTCTCACCGTTTAAGACCCCCGTGGAAACAGCCATGAGTAGTAGAGGGAGTAGAAACAGCCCAAGAGTAAAACTATGCACCCAACCACTCCCTCCTAACGATCAACAGGTGTACTCCAACATTTCACATACGTCATCAGTCCTGATGACATGAGACGCGCTCGCCCACCTTTGGCGCATAATAAAACGCGCTCGCCCAAATATTAATTTCGTTGGATTATCGCTTTGTAGAAAGAGTTGAATCCAACACTATGTCCAGATGTTATTGGATATCATGGAGCAATTGATTCAACATGCGGAGTTTTCGTTGGCTCCTCTCATATATTTTGTCGATATCGAAACCCTTGTCCTCCTCATCGAGGTGCGGCCATCGAGCACGCAATGCTCTCCTTCTCGCATATGCCTATCGATGATGATTATCGTGAGCAGTTATGTATAAACGCATTTATTATGCGTTCGTGATCCACATCGAGCCCACTCACCTGGTCATCACCAATCGAGTACGCTTGCTGCTGACCACTTGAAAGCACCTGAGATTGTCCTACCTATTCGGAAAACACTGCTAATACTTCACTTCCCGTGTTTCGAATATCGGGAAGACCCTCGGATACCTCTCTGGCACAGCATGTGTACAGGAAGCCGGTAATGGCCGACAAAGACTTTGGTAACTGCGGACCCATGCTGGTGTCAGCAAAGAGGATCTCCACTTACACACGCTTCAATCGCTCCTCTTCTACTCGGCTCTGTTCCTCCATCTGGTGACGGAATGAACTCATCTCTCTGTCTAAGACCTTTCTCAATCCACTAGTCCTCATACAAGGCAAGTATGCTTAATGCTACACCTGTGTTATCCGCCGATTCTCCTCCGCTCGTCTATGGTCCCGGTCTACTCTTTCAAACTGTCCCCAACATCGCGCTACCTGCGCCGCTGAATATGGCGACGACTAGTTACAGTATCTTACTTGATGCTGAGCTCGAGCTCGCAGGGCGTTAAGCTCGGACTCAACTCTTTTACTCTCCTCTTTGCTTCGGGATTCGTATTCCGCGTTGCTCAGCACAAACAGTGACGCCCCCGCTCGTTTGATGACCTATTCACTTGTACCATCCTCCAGAACCATACTCCTTGGATTATATAGAGTCACACGGAGTACCGTTCACTCCGGGATTCCATTTCGGATAGGATCGGTATGCGCGGAAACACTACCAATTCCATCGACACGAGGAGTAGAAGCAAAAAAACGGAAGCAACTCCCCCCAAAAGTAAAGATTGTTAAGTGGTTCATACCTCCCGTTCGAGCTCTGGATTCACGCTGAGTGATGCAGTTTGTATAGTAGGATGCCGCCGATATATTCGTCTTGAAGGATCTAGTGGAAAGTACGGATAACGATAGCCCCTGTCAATGAGGTGCTCGTAGCCCCGAGGTAGATCGTAGCCGATCTAGGACTGGAAAGCTCACTCTTCAACGAGAAAACATAACCAGGACCGCTACGATCACCTGGGAGCGTTGACTTACCTGATAGCGATGATGACGAGTAGTTGACAGACATCGATGATAAACAAACGGCTGAATGCGGCTCTACCCTCTACCCCCAACAAACGGCGTACGGCCTGGAAATCCTGCTCATTGGTTATCGGTCGATCAGTATTAACGATAAAACGTCCATTCGAATTAGCTCTTTGTAAGCGTTTAATCTGGCATCATACCATTCATGCTGCTCGAGGGCTCTTGCAGATGGGGTGAGCAACTGAGTAGGAATCTCCGGCAAGACTTTTTTTACCAATGACAAAAACACCTCTAACACCTTTAAAGAGTGACCTCAAACCATATTAGGTTCTTTCAGAGTTTAGTATACCATCAGTTGGCCACGGCCGAGTGAAACAGCAATCGACCGCAACAATGATGAAGGCAGGACAAAAATCTACACTCAAGAACTTTCAAGTGCCAACATTCATCCAAATATGGAAGCACTCCAAACTGGGTGATACTGTGGCAAACGTCTGTAGTTTCAGCGCTGTAAAAGCATAATACTGCTCGCTTGGTGGCCTCATTGGCAATATCGGCTCTCATTCAGTCAATTCGTCCCCACTCAAACACTAGACTAGTGTCATAGTGAACACGAACAGCTCACGATAATGAGAGTTACACATCGATAAACAATCAGAAGTGTGTATATCAACTTTTGTAAGATGCCGAAGATTGTCTTGTCCTGGACTTAGGCATTTTTCACCATCGATTAAGGATGCCTTGCCGTGAATAGCTGCTGCTCCCTCGACGCTCACTGCTTATCCGAGCTTTTTTTCTTTGTACTCCGCTTCCGCAGCGATAGAGAAGATGGACTTTTCGGTTTCTTGCCGGTTGGTGACCGTACTGCTGACGTCTGAATGGAATCTTCGCTAGAGCGGGGGCTAACGGTTACTGTCTCGAATGGCGATAAGAGATCGGGAAAAGGCTCATCGATCTTCTCATGGCTCGACCTTGTAGATGGAGAAAGATATTCACCTGATTCTGTTGTGGTCCTCCCATATCTTCGATCATTGCTCGCGACACTTTCTGGTCTACTAAACACCGATCCTTCTTCTGTTGCGGAGCTGTCCACCGACGCTCGTGCCGGCCCACTTCCACCCGATATCGGTGGGCTCCAATGTCCTATGGAATCCCGGTCAAACACCTCGGGACTGATACTCCCCATCGACATGTACTCTCCGAGTCCCACTCTTCCTGATTCCTGAGCTTCATCGTTACGAACATACTTGTCGTTAACCAAGTCGCTCAGCCCTGACGAGAGTGTCTCGAAGACATCGTGCACTCTCCCGCGTTGTAAGGTGCTTGCAGACGACTTAGTACTAGCGCGCGGTTTCGTGATTGACGTTTTGGGAGTCAACTTCCCACGCGGCGGTAAAGGTGGTGGGATCCCCGTTCGCGTCCTAACCGGGGGCAATAAGTCATATAGATCGGGAATCGACTGCCTCTTCGACAAGGGCCCAGGCCTCTCGAGCGATCCAAGTCCATCAGTAGGTTCAATCTCCACATAATCTCCATTACTAAGGAACTTCATTTGCATCCTAGGCGGCATGTAGGTAGAGAATTCAGGTGCTGACGCACGTCTCCCTGCTTCTTCCGCCGACCCTTGAAGGGATTGCAGGCTTTGGGTGGTGCGTTTGACTGGATCAGATCCCAATGGTAGAAGAGCTGTGTTGTTAAACCCATCAGTCGAGCTCGCTCCGTAGAGTTGATTCATCGCCATATAGTCTCCCTCACTCGACTGTGAGCTGTGCCATGCAATCAAGTCGGTATCTGTAATACCATGTAATGCCATTGAGCGCTGAGAGGCATCTTTTTCACCTGGCCCGAGACCCACATGACGACTTATACGAGGCTCGCCTGATTTCTCGAACTCAGTAGCAGATGGTCTCTGAGTAGAGAACAACCCATAATGCCGGTGAGACTCGGGGATTGGGAATGACTTACGAGGAACTGTTTCGTGGCCTTTCTTCTCTTCGCTTTAGTAATCGTCGACAAGGATGCTAGGTACTGAATACAAATGCGATTGACTCGTGATAAAAGACCACATGGTTATAGACTAATATTGACCAACGATATCTCCGTGGGCAATATCTAGTGATCCAACTACTATTTTGTCCGTTATACTCACTCGTTCTGCATCATATAGGAATTCCGCTTTAGTTATGCGTCGCCAGTCGAGCTCATACAAAGAGCCGATAGCAGCCCCCAAAGACTTGCTACAAGCATCGAAACTACTTAGACCTTGAACTGGTATCGGTAACGGCAATAATCTAAGCCCATGCAATGACGAAGTGTATCCATAGGCACACGTATAGTAACGCATAGATTCATCCCACCTCGAAGAGTCTAGGCTAACTACGATGTATTGGCGATCCGATTCTGGCAAGACAGATGATGGTGCAAGTGAGACGTCTCCTTTATACGCTTCTAAAAGCAGTAACTGCCGATGGGTTTGGGAAACAGATCAACCTACCTGCTTTATAGAGCGTCCATGAGAAAAATTCTCGTGGTGCACGACATTCCACTTTCAAAGTCTTCCGCAACGTCAGCTTACTCTTTTTATGACCAGAAGTTGGCTGTCGATTAGTTAACATACGTGCATTTGAAGTCTTATTCTCAGGCCCTACCTGTCCTATCTGTTCTCGCTCTTTATCAGCAACAAAACCGATAATCTCCAACGTTTGATGCTGAAAGAGGGCGCTGTATACACTATATACGTCCGGTCGGAAATGTCACAATGTGAAGTCTTTCTAGCGCAAAGTTTACGCAGTTATCGGTGTTGAACAAACACCTCCTTTCTATGGATCATACGAGTCTTATAATACGATTCTGTGGATTCCATGAGGAGCTTCCCCTTACTTCGAAAGGAGTTAACACTGGCGCTGGTGATAGTATTGCTGTGTTTATCTGCTGCCTGAGCTCCGCCTTGTACACCTGACAAGCAAATAAGTGAGTCTACTGATGAAGGTCTGATGTTGCTCCCATGAGCTCTACTCGGATCATTCTCATATCGCAAAACGCACGTGGAAACCAAATCTATAGTGGCATCCCACAATACAAATTTAACTCGACTGAAACCTAGCGAGAGATATACAGGAGGTTACCCGTTCGAAATCGCCCCTAAGGCTCAACGTAGAGATATCATCCATGCCATAATCTCGTTTATAAGCTCGATCCACGAAGTAGGCCAGCGAGTCTCTGCAGAAGTCAGACCATAGTTTGTCCTCTCCTAGGGAACTCCTTCTTTTTTTCTCTTCATCCCATAATCGCCTCACATGGATTCCAAGTTCTCTGAGAGATGAACATGTGATAGCGCGAGGAAAGCAGTCGAGGTTCAGACGATGCGCGAAGTAAGAGCCTTCTAAAGAGTGCTTATCAAGACCGATCTCTCACAGGAGATCCTCTGTGTTGGTGAACTTCACACTCAAAACACTGCCAAAGTCTTCTTGTGGCAATTCAACATATGCTCCACCATAATCTGAGCTCCACAGAGACCATCGATCCGTGCATGATCCAGTTCCTATCAATGGCTCACCAGTTCTATCAATATGGGACCACCGAAGAGCATTCATGGCGTCACTGGCTTCACAGATCCTCACCTGAAAAATAACGGAGATTTCCAGGAACTGCCTCCACGGTGCCGACTGCTATAAACACTATTGGCTCGGAAAAAATAATGCCTACCCGTATCGAATTCTTCAGTAAGTTGACCAGAGGCCGATCCTGAAAGCAGAAGAAGATGGTGAGATATCAAATCCTCATCTAACAGGAGAAGTGGTGCGTCACATTTGGAAGTCAGCCACCGTGTAGCGACCACCATTTGAAATGTGCGACTTCGAGACTTCTCACCTTCAGGTCCTCATCTGTCCCCGTTCTCTCCCACAGCTCAACCTGCAAGCAAGACTACTCTCGAAAAGATTGGAAGGTGGTGCCGTTTGGTCAGTCCGAGGTCGGCTCACCAGGTTCTTCTGCGGCACAAAATTGTCTCTCTTCTTATGACTTTTGGCATCGAGAGCTTTACTGATGTACTGAACGCAGAAAGAAGATAAGCATGAGCACAGCCCGTCAACAGCCTTACCTTGGCAATGTGCGACTGGACCTCACTCGGTGTGAACATCGGGTATCCAGCAGATCCCATAGAGCCATACAAGGCCCAGAGACCCTGTCTAAGGGCGTCATCACACGAGGTACTGGATTGGTCAAGTCTAACTGTCAAATACCTAAACATAGGACAAGTCTCTATCATCGCTCGAGGAGGGCTTATGGGCCGTCCGTAGCTCACGCTTGTCGACTCCTTGATACAGGGTATGTGAAAGTGACGTAAGGTCCGTCGAGAAACTCGGTATCACTACTAGGCGCCAGGAGGGAGCGACCATGCGGCGGTGCCTCTGAAGGGTAAATATCGTGGAATCGCGATAGTGAAAAGCCAGGCATAAGAGGGCTTATGAAGAATCGTACTTCGGCTCGACTCCCATGTGAAGTTCACAGCATCGTGCCAACATTTGAATACATATGGATCTCTTCGCCTCCTCAAGCTGACTTTCGGATATTTGATCTGAATAGCAGTGATAAAACTCAAGCAAGTACAAAACGATGCGCATACTGCATGCCATGGGAGAACATACCTGGGCTGACGATCCAATCTCCTCGAGAGTAACCATCTGAAAACCAAAATCACACCGAAGTGCATAAATACACTCGTCTCTTAATGCTAGTTCTATCCTATTAATAAACTATGTTCTAATGTTGCTATCACTATTGCCGAGCTCCAGGAATGATAGGAGGCACCATGAGATTGCAGTGTATGATTACTAGTCATCGACTAGTGTTACAGTTCAAGATAACGAATGACAAGCTCCTGCTAGCAGCACAAAACTGGATCAACAACTTGCGCGTGAGAGCTCCACGCTGAGCCTTACCCTAAATGAGTCCTTCTCAGTGTATGAGCTCTTCTTGAACCACTAAGAAAAGAGCAACAAAATTGGAGGTGTCGCTCAAGTGCAAGAAGCTGAGCCGAAGCAGCAGAACGAGTACCGTGGATCCCAAGAGGCTTACTATGCTGAGATCATTAACAAGCTGTGCCCAAGTGACTTTGGGCATCACTCGATCCATCTCAGGTTCATGCTTCAGGCTATAGATTCTCGTCAATGCACGCTTCAGGAGGTCTCCACAAAACTTAGCGTCTCGCAACTGTGATTCGATCGTAGGAATATAAACGCCGTACTCTCTGAGTGAGAACGCAAGTATACGAATCTCGCACGTTTGTTCGGAATGAGCCCAAAAACAAAGAGAGAAGTCTGTATGGTCTTACACTTGTCCGACAACAATCGTAATGACATGTTTCGCCGTTGAATCGAGCAAGAGCCGTGCGGTTTTGTGGTGGTCCAAGGACTCGAATGATCCTAGAAAGAGTGAATCGCACACCGGTGAGCGCTAATGCACGGAGCAACCTCTATCTCGAATTCTCCATCGGATCCTGTTGCGGCCTTCCAACTTGATACTGCACTCTGTGACCTACAGGAGAGGAGTAAAAATGAATATACTGGGGGTCCGCAGCCACCTCAGTTGCATCTTTGGCAATCAGTGCGAGTGACTTAATCACCTGAGATCATGAAGGGCTCCGCAACATAGCAAGTCCGAGCAGGTATACTAACGATAGAGATGGAGAATGCTCAATCATTCACAGTTCGGCTTCGACTAATGAAAACACATCAATTTATTCGCGAAGTAGGTTCGTCAACACATTAGTGAGTTCAACCCTAACCGAGCACTGACCACTACCGGGGACTTCAAATGCTTATCAATGATCAAAGAGCCACTGGCTACGCTCTTCGGTGACTTAAGGGCAGGAGAATCAGGATACCGCATGCCGGCCGTAGACGGGAAGGGCTGAGAATACACGATAGACCGAGACCATGAGTCGTCAGTACGATGAGAACTTACACCACAGTCCGCTCCCATACAGGGTGTTGGGGGTCCATTGCGGGCTTGGACTACGAAGAGTATACCAGTCAGGAAACAACCGAGAGAGGGCAGTAACATATTTGGGCAACCACTGATAGGAGAGCAAGGTAGTGAATCGGGCATGTATAACACCATGGCATCGTCGTTATGGTATGCAATACATCGATTTCCCCAACATCCAGTATGTGGAGAGTAAAACCTAGCAAGTTACATCGACATCTATCGATCAAACATGTCATTCTCACGGCCGACAACACATCCCATAGAAAAAGAGGCGTCCATTAAGGATAGAGAGAGTCGAGCATTGTTACCCTTTCGCAGTTCACCGGTAGTTGATCATACCGTTATCCTCGGTAACTGCTGAGGCGTGGCTAATCTTTACTTTAGTAGGGAGGGCATACCATACCGAGGTTGCCGATGTCATGCCTTTGCCCCCTCATGCCGGTGACAGCGCCAGAAATCACTTCGAGAGTTGCTGAACTTCAAGAGACCGATGAAATGACGAGGAGCCGTTATTTTTCTTCATGCTGATATGATAGATTAGCTAGTTACGTCAGCGGACTCGTACACGGCTCGTGAGTCATCGCATGAATAGAGACATGCCCTGAGATGGGAGAAGAGACGAAAGGCTGTGCCGAAGACCATCTATGAGCTTCGAATAAGCTCCAAAATCAGATAAACAGAATCACTGATAGACCAGTTACCGATGTATACTTTTTAAGTATCGTCGAACTACGTAGATGAGGAAGATGGTTTCTTACACTGGACTCAGCCTTGTCCTCCTTCCTCGACTCGTTTCCAGCTTCCTCAATAGACACCAAATACTGAAGGAGGAGAACAATACGAATGGTAGCATGCACACAGATGATAAGCATATAAAATGTACTCCCATCCACTCACGTGCGATACATCACGAATAAGCTCAGCCTTCGTGACTGCCTTCATGGCGAACTCTTGATATAAGCTTCTTCCAGCTGCCTCGAGTGCTATCGAACATTTTGTGAGATCCGGATATTCCAATCGAGAGATGAGCAGAGGGAGTTTCCTGCAAAGGAGAGCAGAGCCTTCTACTCTCCACCCCAGTAGGAGCGCGAAAGGTTTGCGCTGTTACAAAGTAATCAAAACGAGAGTTTACAGACGATTCGTCATCTGAGTTTGTGAAGAGGTTCCAGCCGAGTCTCTCAACGCGATATGTGTTCCATCGGACGTTCCTTCGTTAAATTAGTCGGGGAGAAAATACTGACCTGCCTAGTCCAATCCTCAGCTCAACGTAGGTTGGTTTCGACCCGTCTGCTTTGCCCTTCAGTTCTGATAGAGCATGCTCGTGCGTCCATGCTCGTGAGACGATGTTGCGATCACCGCTTACTTGGTTCTTGTACGATCCATTCGAGGCCTCCATCATCACCAGGCTTGCAAACCATCAATTTCTTACCCCTCGAAAGAGATAACTGCCCAAGAGCATCCCACTCGACTATACAACAACAGATGTGTCTAACCTTGCCTGACGTCTGCTGTTGGACGTCTACGTTGTGTCCAATGACTTCGAGAGTTTCGTGCTGACAGGTGAAGTCATCATTCCAGTTGTTCGAAGGTGGACTCACCACGAGCAGAACCTTTCGTTTACGGAGTATCGGTACTCCATTTTCCGCCACATCTTTCATTATAGTGTCGCGCATCGCCTAAGGCCGGGGAAATCAAATTTATTGATGCGTATTAAACTGCAAAACGCACCTTTTCCAAGTCTCCTTTCAAAGCCAGGATGGAGATATCGTCTGGGTGGTAATCCGTGCCGTAGCCGGCTCGTACGAAGGTGTCCATCGTATTCATACAAGATAAGTGGCCGTCGACGAGGAGCTCCTCCGAGTTAGCATAGGCAGCGAAAGGACTAATAAGATCGATCACTCGAGGGCACCTTCGGGTTGAGAAGCTCACGGTATTTCCTTTGAGTCCAAAAAGTCTACGAGTAGTGCAGTGTCACTCTCCCCCGTCTGGAAGTTCACAAAAGGGCCGGGGAATACTAACAGAAAGCAGTTATGTCTAGAGGAAGATGAACCCGATTCCACTCCATGATCACTATCCCAGATGGCGATGCATAGAGAATCAGTAATCAGAGAACTAACAGCCAACGTACATTTTAGGGGCTCCAACCGCCAAGCCAAGCTAGTGGAGTCGTCGAAGGCAAAGCACGCTTGGGACTGAGGAGAGCCGAGCATTCCGCATGTCATTCCGATATCATTATACTCACGAGATTGGAGCCGATTGCTATATCCCACCATGATTTTCCCTGAAGTAGATAGGAGCACTAGTGTATACAGCAGATATGATTGCAATGTAGGCGCATAAAGAAGAGTTCTGGATCGTTAAGCCCTGTGAACTCCCGAGCTTACTGAATAAATGCCGCCTCCTCCCTGAAAATGACAGAGTCGAAAAGGGGAAATGACTAGAAGAGGAATCCATGCTTACAAGGTCTCGAATCGGCCGAAAGCTCTTGTTAGCGACAGACTCCTCAGCCACCTAATAGACCGACGTGTAATCGGATGAGACACCGAATACTATCGGCATACCTCCTTCAATCGAGTTTCCACTTCAATTGGGGTAAAACGATTGAATGCATTAGATATCCAAACTCCATCTGATTCGGTCTCCTCATACAGATGCTCGAGGCCCAGCTTCAGGGCATGCTCACATGACTTAGGATGCTCAGGGACTCGAACAGTGAAATACCTACATCAGCAACCACTCGAACAGTAAAAGACCGTTCCGCAGAAATATAAATTGCAGCCAACAGATCGCCCTCACAATCGGGCTCGCACCATGCTTACTTATCTTCGTGCTTATCGTTCTTCTTCTTAGCACTGAAAATTAGGCTCACGAATGCTCCTTTGAGTGCAGCAGACGGCGCCGTGCCAACATACTCTCCCGGAGCTCCTCTCAGGCTTACGATCGACGGCGGCCCTGTGTATTTCACTGAAATATCGAAATGCTCACCAACAGGATGACGCCGGCTACAGACTATCACAGATGAAGGAATCTCACCCTTATAAGCTTTCCATCGAAATTTAACGTCTCGACTGTAACATGAAAACTCTCTCGGCGTGTTTTTCTAAAAAGGAAGCAGTTCGCTACATTAACGAAGAGTCGAAGCCAAGTTCGGATAATCCCTCAATCACGAGCTTACCTTGACAACAGCATGGAAACCAATCCACTGCAGAGTTCTGAACTAAAGCGAAGAAAGTTGGCGAGCGGAGATGAGTCGGGTACCCACCTCAAATTTCGCATCCTTGAGGCCATCACTGAGGGCTCGCTGATACTGAATAGAAGAAAGTGAATGAGAGGTATGGATACTCCGTGGGAGGAAGATCACCCAACAGGAATGATGGAATCATCTCAACAGAGGAGGCCCCAACGGGATCAGCAAGAGTAGAGCACGTAGAGAACGTTACGTGTTGTAGTCAATGACCATAGAATGCGCTCAGAGTCCTTACCAGCAGGATATCATTCCTAAGCTGCTTTAGACTGTAGTCTGCGTTCTCGATCCCCTGCTCAACCATGCCGGAATCGCCCGTCCGGAGGGCGAGTTTGGCGTCGTTCATGATAATCAGGCAGATGTTTGGTTCATCGTATTCCGTATTCTCGTCCCCTTCCAACAGGGTCTTTATGTAACGGCTCTTCTCCAGAGGCAAATCGACACCGTATTCACTGAGGAGTATCATCAGAGTGAGGCTTGTATACGTATCGATGGTGGATGCCTACACGCCGTCCACTAAGAAGGTGGCAGTGAACTCAGACTGGGGCCTTTCAATCAGCACGTTGGGCTTCCAATGGTAGAAACGGATAAAGTCATCTGCCATATTCAAGTGACAGATCCTCACGAGTAAGGAGGATCACCTCTACGCCAAAGACGCCACCAAAGGGTCTGATCCCCTTCCTCTCGGGCCCGACACTCGAAGACCTGCAATAGAGGATAACGACTAACTGGGTATCTCAGAAGCCTTGCCACCGCGAAACAAGTGAGAGTTTGAGCGGGATAACGATATCAAACTGATGACCACGACTCACCTCAAATGCTCCGCTAGCTGCGACTAGCAATGACTTCGCCTAAGACACGAAGAACTCTATCATGACAAAGCTTCTCTCAGTGGGATGGAGGACGACACAAGTTCGATGGATCATTTTAAGGCCATCATCCTGGATACTTATGTTTCCAACAGGCTCGTCCACCGGTAGAGTGTAAGTGAATGGATGAGAGTCTTACGCTCCGCTTAATCTTCGGCCTCTCCCCCTTGCGGAGATCCGCAACTCCCTTGATAGCCATCAAGTACTGATATAACGAGCAATACACGACAGATGGCACCGGGGAAGAACTAGGTAGCCACTGATGCTCTATCTCCTGGCTTACTCGAGATATGTCGGAGACAAGCTCGCTTCTAGTGATGGTGTTTGCGATCGAACCCTTGTACAGGTCCTTCATAGCCGCTTCGAGTGCCGTTGAACAAATTGTGAGATCTGGATACTCCGATCGAGAAATGAGAAGAGGGAGTTTCCTGAAGTTAGAAGGAGTCGCCGATGATCCCATCCGGCGAAAAGAAGATCTCGTAGGTTCACATACGAAGCTTCATCAGGGCCTCACAGAGCGCCAGATCCCATAATAGAGATATTGTGAAGGGTGACTCTATTGAAGAGAAAATATGTTTAAAAATGACGGCGTGGGAGGAAGACATCTGGTGGGTTATCGTACGATAAACAATGTATGGGCGTGAACGACGTAATACTCCGGTGACCACGAGATTCGCGTAGCACTGAGCGGTAACCTCCCCAGTATGGGCTATGAACCACCATCGCGTAGAAGCTTACTGCTAGTCACGATATTTGCATGTAGTGTTGTGCTAAGTCGTAAGAGTTTATTCCCCAGTGATAGCAGATCGCAAATGCAACTATGTTTTTATCGAGTACACCCCAACGAACTAGAGGAGTGCAGATTCCTACTTGTCGGGTTCAATCCTGAGCTCAATGTAGGTCTTTCTGTCCTTCTCTCTTCTTTTTTTCAGTTCTGAAATTAGAGGACTCCCAGATGATCTTGGAACCACCGCTTACTTGGTTCTTGTACGATCCATTCGAGGCCTCCATCATCACCAGGCTTGCAAACCATCAACTTTTTTCTTCTCGAGAGAGATAACTGCCCAAGAGCATCCCACTTGACCATACAACAACAGATGTGTCTAACCTTGCCTGACGTCTGCTGTTGGATGTCTGCGTTGTGTCCAATGACTTCGAGAGTTTCGTGCTGACAGGTGAAGTCATCATTCCAGTTGTTCAAGGGTAGACTCACCACGAGCAGAACCTTTCGTTTACGGAGTATCGGTACTCCATTTTCCGCCACATCATTCATCATAGTGTCGCGCATCGCCTAAGGCCGGGGAAATCGAATTTATTGATGCGTATTAAACTGCAAAACGCACCTTTTCCAAGTCTCCTCTCAAAGCCAGGATGGAGATATCGTCTGAGTGGTAATCCGTGCCGTAGCCGGCTCGTACGAAGGTGTTCATCGTATTCATACAAGATAAGTGGCCGTCGACGAGGAGCCCCTTCGAGTTAGCATAGGCAGCGAAAGGACTAATAAGATCGATCACTCGAGGGCACCTTCAGGTTTGGGAGCTCACGGTATTTCCCTTGAGTCCAAAAAGTCTACGAGTAGTGCAGTGTCGCTGTCTCCTGTTCGGTCGTTCAAAAAGGGACCGATGAATACTGACAAAGAGCAACTCACGACACGGGAAAACACACTCAATGTACCGTCGAGGGGCTCTAGCCGCCAAGCGAGCTCCACTGGGTCGTCATGGCTGAGGCACGCCTCAGACTGAAAGCAGCTCAACACGCTACATAATAAGCCCGAACAGCCGTACTTACAAGATTTGAGTTCAGTGCTACATCCCACATGGGTTTTCCCTAAAAGAAGGGAATCACAAGTATGCACCCCGGGGATAACGAAGGATATGGGCATTTTGAGAGCAACACTGTAGACCATCAAGTTCCCGCCCTTACCGGGCTGATGCCGCCTCCTCCCTGAAAAAGACAGAGTCGAAAAGCGAAAGTGACTAGAAGAGGAATCCATGCTTACAAGGTCTCGAACCGGCCGATAGCTCTTGTTAGCGACAGACTCCTCAGCCACCTAATAGACCGACGTGTAATCGGATGAGACACCGAATACTATCGGCATACCTCCTTCAATCGAGTTTCCACTTCAATTGGTGTAAAACGATTGAATGCATTAGATATCCAAACTCCATCTGATTCGGTCTCCTCATACAGATGCTCGAGGCCCAGCTTCAGGGCATGCTCACATGACTTAGGATGTTCAGGGACTCGAACAGTGAAATACCTATACGAGAAAGAGACAATAGTCTGGCTCGAACAAAGATGTTCAACTTGACGCATTTCCACCTACTTCTCCTTATACTCTTTATCGTTTATCGACAAGTTATAAATAACACTAATAAAACTGCCTTTGAGCGAAACAGTGGACTTGTCGCCCGTTGAGTCCGCTAATGCCGCTCGCAGTGCCACCAGCGACTTCGGACCGGTGTACTTTCCTGAAATACCAGGCATTGCTAGTGTAGCTTGAGCGGAGGTAACTCACTCAAGTAAGCTTTCCAGCGGAACCTCACGTCTCGGTTGTAGCACGAGAGCTCCCTCGATGTATTCCGCTGAGGAGAGTGGCGATGGATCACAGTGGGCCGGGCACAGTCTAGTATAAATCGACTCTCTCACCTTGATAACAGCGTGCGAGCCGATCCACTGTAGAGTTCTGAACTAAGACGAAGAGGGTTAGCAAGACAGATCAGACCGGAAGATACCGACCTCAAACTTCGCATCTTTGTGACCATCACTGAGGGCTCGCTGGTACTGAATACGAGAAACGAATGGGAGAAGCTCAAGTAGTTGAGTGGGTATGATTAGCAAAAACGCTGTGATGAGGTGAACAAGGACACAAGTTGGGATACCCGATGAATATTAGATGTATTGAGTTTTCAGCGTGTGAGCTGAGCGATGAGACACGTCAGCTCTTGCTGAGTGGAGTAGTAGTTTGCACGCTGGCCTTACCAATATTATATCATTCCTCAGCAGTTTCAAGCTGTAGCGATACATCAAGCCCCCATCTCCCAGTTCGATCCTGCCGTTTGGATTCTCCCATAGGGAAGTTATCGAAATGCTCATGATGAAAAGGCAAATGTTCGCTTGGTTGTATTCCGTTTCTTCGTCCCCTTCCAACAGGGTCTTTATGTAACGGCTCTTCTCCAGAGGCAAATCGACACCGTATTCACTGAAGAGTATCATCAAAGTGAGGCTCGTATACGTGTTGATGGTGGATGCCTACACGCCGTCCACTAAGAAGGTGGCAGTGAACTCAGACTGGGGCCTTTCAATCAGCACGTTGGGCTTCCAATGGTAGAAACGGATAAAGTCATCTGCCATATTCAAGTGACAGATCCTCACGAGTAAGGAGGATCACCTCTACGCCAAAGACGCCACCAAAGGGTCTGATCCTCTTCCTCTCGGGCCCGACACTCGAAGACCTGCAATACACCCTCTACCTCATTTCAGAACTTTTGTGAGGGAGACTACTTACTTTGAATGCTCCTCGGGCGGCTACTGCGAGTGACTTGGCCTAGGAGATAATACATAGTCGATACATTATTGGAGGATTCTCGAAGCGCACATCGCAAAAATGACAATATAGATGCTTCACACGTCATTTCCAACAGCCAAGGGAATGACAAACAATCATCTACCTACCTGTGGATCATAGAAGAAATCTGATAGCGTCTTCGCCTCTTTTCTCTGTGGTGCACCGTAGCCGGAGAACACAGCACGCAGAGGTCCTTTATCATTGAGTAACTGAGATCGTATGTGCCTCGATACTCGGTGATATTGCTTATAGTGGTTACCAATATGAACTCTCACCTCAACGTCTTTAGCGCCAGCGCTTCTCCAAGCAAAGCAACTACTAAGAACGGCCATCAGGCAGCTGACGCTTTGGAATAGCATTGCAAGGGAGTGCCTCATGGATATCAGAATAGGGAGTACTGAGGACCGCAGCGGCGGCAGCATTCGAAGAGATCAAGTCCAAATACAGCATTGCGACTGTTTAGTATTGATTGTTACTGAGGCTGGAAGCCAGGTTGGATGCCAGAGTGTGAGTCCATCGGTGCGTGGAGGTCCAAGAGGATGCGGGGTGAAAGCTTAAGAAGTTCTTGGCAATGTTCAAGTCCCTACCAATCACTTCCTTACTGGTATTTCTTCCGTAGCTATACTTATTCAGATTGGCTACAGGTATATACCAACCTAGTCTAGATTGACAACGCGACGATACCGCTTCCATGAACAAGTACATCTGACATGTAGGAAGGGAACTCTCGCCGAAAGCAGTTGAATTTCGATACAAGATGTGTACACTAGAGCAGTCATATTAACACATCTTTCAGCGTAGTCTCATATGAACACCTATATAATGACAGAGAGCTGAATCGGTCGTTTCAGAACGGGTAAGTCTCAACGCCATAGAGATGTACTACAGAAAGTTTAATTGCCCAAGAGCATAAGTATTGTTGTACAGAGGGATGAGTAATAATAGCCCTGCGTATCAAGACGCGGCCCGATCAGGCAAAGCTGGACTACGGATCATGCTACTGTGCAGAATCAGTGCTGCTCGTTGTCTTGGATCTTCTCCGGAGGGGCTTAGGAGGTGGCCCCGTCTTCTTTTCACCAGTCAAGTCTACTTGCTCGGGCAATACCTCGACCACGGAGTCATCAGAGAGGGGCCCATGATACCGTAAGTAGTCCATGTGCTTGTTGCGAGGAAGTCCAGTAGAACCAATGGAGTATATGAGAGGGCTGAGATCTGGCTGATAAGATAGCTCAAGTGGATGGGCCCTAGCCCCGAACGTGCCGGCCTTGCCTTGATACCACTGACATAGGAGAACAGACAATCGACATTAGCCCGATCGTGTAGGAAAGTTGGACATATAAATCAACGCGAATGAGCTGTCAGTAACCTCACCCCGAATTGCAACTGTGGTCTATGTCCCTTCTCCAATTTCGCAGCTTCCTGTTTTGCCGTCAGGTACTGAAACAATGGTGATAATGGTTACAAGTGCTCCGCAAGATATGGATCGGAGAAGCTCAAGGAGACCTCTCTCAAGAAGCAGGCTTACCCTGGATATATCAAAGACCAAGTCGCTCTTCGTGATCATCATGCCGGAGTTAGCATAGAGTAGGTGGACTGCCTCTGCAAGCGCTGTAGAACACAACCCGATCTCTCTGGGCTCCTCCTCCTCCTCAGGAATAAATAAAGAAAGTTTCCTGAGGGAGAGTCAGCACGGCTTCTAACTGTCCTGTTCCAAGATGAAACAATGACGATAGAGTGATACTCTTCTTACCTGCCATCTCCAATGCTGATCTCAACTTCAGTACCCTTGAGCAAATTCTTGTTTTTTCTCTGACCTTCGAGGGGAGATTCTAACAAACAATCATTTTCTGCACATATATCAGAGCGGTCTTGTATGAGAATGTCGCATGTTTTACTCACTGTGGAAAGTCCAGTAGAAATCCGTGGAGTTTCCATCGCAAATGATAGAGCTCGGTCCACGCTTTTTCTTCTTTGTTTTCGTCACATCGGCCTGAACTTCTTTCAGTGTACAAAATACAGGAGAGGATCTTCCCGACCTCAAGGACAAGTTGCTGTTTCTGTAACTCATCAGCCCTCTCTCCGAGGAACTGGAGCGTCTCATGCTGCCACAACGACGATTACGGCAAGGAGTGGTATGAGATGAAGCTTACCACAAGGTTACGTGCCGCAATTTCCAGGGATTTAGCACCGCTCTTTGCTATCTCTCTTACGACGTAGTCGCGCATAGCCTGAAATGAGTATGTTTCCTTGAGTTCAAGTCGTTCTACTAACCTTTCGCAGATCCCCCTTCAAGCCAAGTATAGATATAGCATCAGCGTTCTCCTTTCGCGAGTTATACGCGAGTGAGACGAAGGTTTCCATCATAAGCGAGCAAGACAGCTGATCATCATCCTCAGCATAGAGCGGCTTCTTCCAGGCATGCACTCCAAAAGCCCTGACTATGGAGTATGTCGATGTTGTTGATAGGAAAAACCTTACGGTATTTCATCAGAATCTTCAAAGTTCATAACGATGATAGTGTCGGATTTCTCACTCTTCTTATTGAATAAAGGCCCCGCAAAATCTGGTGAAGAACAATGGGCAACGGCATAGTTTTCGCAACGAATGAATACTAGATGCCAGCTTACGAACCACGCACTCACACTTAGGCTCTTCCAGTCGCCACGACAATTTTGCTATGTCGTCGCGGCCAAAACAAACACCAAACTGAGATAGAAAATGTAGTGAGAGGAATGCTCAACAGCACACTCACAAGCATCGCTCTCTTCGCTATTTCGACAAGAGGTTCACCCTGAAAGACACGAGCCCTAAGGCATCACACAGGGGAGCGACCACAGTCCAAAGTAGCAAGAATGAGAGAATCAACTACCGATGACAATTACCAGAGATATTCCGCCTTCTCCCTGAAAGGAAAACAATATCAGTGACGGCTTTGATAAGCACATGTACACTTACAAGGTGATTCACAGGCACAAACTTCGTCTCCTTCGCCGAGGCCTCTGCTACCTGAAAGACCACTGTGCTGTACAACAAAGCGCCTCCCTTGGAGAGACTCAATGGGCGGATACATCATGATGCCGACCTGCTTGAGTCGAGCCTCCACTTCAATAGGCGTGAAACGCTGAATTGCCTGGAGCTCCAACCCGTCAGGTTTCTCGTACAGCTCTTCCAGACCAATCTTCAACGCCTCCCCGCACGTGGGAGGACTAGCAGACACCTTCGCAGTGAAGTACCTAGCAAAAGAAGGACGCTTGAATATTGACAGCACTCGCGATAATATACAAGTCTTAAGATCAGTCCATTCTGCGCATCCGCAGATAATCAAGTTTCATCACGATATAGAAAAACAGTAGTAAAACAAATTTCACATTTCACAGGCGTAAACGTGATAAACACGTATGGTTTCTCCCACTCACGGTGTATAGCGGTGCTTGTAAAATTGTGTCAACGAAAATTCCGGATAATTTTCCAATTAAAGACATACACATCGAAACGTTTTACCGTGAGTAGAAGTCTGTGTTTCACTAGTGTTTTCCATATTGAGAGTGCAACTCCTGCATATTCAAATAGTTGTCGTCGGGAAACAGTACAAATAAACAATAGAGCAAAAGATTCGAGCACCAGTGCAAGTAAAAAATGGTGCAGCACGTACTTGTTCTCATATTTAGAGCCCTTCTTCTTGAGAGGATATATGAGGCTGATGAAGGTCCCCTTTGATCCTCTTGAGGTACGCGACTCGTTCGGGGCACCTTCGGTGGATTTCCAATTGACTAATGATTTCGGTCCTGTGTACTTCCCTGAAGTTAAAGACTAGATAGAGCAGCATCCCAGCTGAAATTGACTCACCTCGATACACTCTCCAACGGAATGCTACATCCAGGCTAGAGCATGATAATTCTCTGTCGGTGTCTTTCTACAAGAAACAGACCCCTATGCGAACACCATCACAGCCATGTAATGATTATACCGCGCTCAAGATGCAACGAACCACATACACGAAGCTGCTGAGCGGAGGGTCACTTTTTGATGGTACAACAACATAACGGCGATTCTCACCTCAACCGTCGCTTCTCGACCTAGCCTCTCGAGATCTTTGAACTGAGACACCGAGAAAACCTTCACATCACTTCAGCACCTCCCACTTAGCCCTCCTTATCAATGGTTATATGTATAGAGGAGGGCATCTAATATGTATTATATCTAATGAACTAGTAGTATTTATAATAACCATATCTATATGGTTATTATAATATCAACTATATTTAATTATCAAGATACACGATAATAACATGTAATCACTATATTAATAGCTCCAGTAGTAGATATTATTCCAAATAACTAGTAATGTAATAATAGGATATATAGATTAACAATGATACCAGGAACACTTACCTGGAAGGTAGCGTCTTCTTTCCTAGCCTTGATAGCTCGTTCGAACTGAGAGCACACGGAAAAAATGTGAGGCAATGCGATCTCCAGCCGAAACCTTCACAAAGGTCCTCGAATTGGAACGAATCTCACCAGAACAATATCACTCCTAAGTTGCTTCAGCGTATATGTATCCTGTCCTGCCCTTCTTCGTGATGCCGGTTCGAATTCCTTCCTCAGAGTAGATTGCCCAGCCTTCAGTATAGTCCCACAGACGTCCTTCTGTTCAGCTCGAGTTCCCTCCCTTTCGAGCTTTAGAAGGTCTTTCAGTGATGCCTGCGGTTCCGCATCCAAGTCGACGCCGTACTCCCTACCACAGCAAGCTGCTCTCTCTATTTTCCCACATGTACTCACAGTCCGTCGACTAGGAATGCCACAGTGAGCTCAGCGTCGGGCTTACTCCGCAGGACCAAAGGTTGATTACCGTTGTGGAAGGAATAGAAGTCACCTGTAGATGCAATCGGAAAAATCTGCAATCGACGAGGAGAGCCTACCTCTATGCCAAAGTCGCCAATATAGGGTCTGCCCTGCATCGTTCTTAGCCCTACACTCTGAAGCCTGATGAACGAAGCTAGTCAAAACCGGGGCAACGGCTTTCATAGAAAACGTCAGAATGCTCACCCCGAACGCGTCTTCAGCAGCTTCTCCCAGGGACTTCGCCTGAACGGAGCAAGACACTGGAGGTATCGAAAATGCCATAAGCTGACCATCCAAGCGTAGCAGCAACAGAGTAATGTCGATACTGCTAGTTCCCTCCAAGCCTACCTGTATGTCTGGAAGCAGGACTCCATCACTCACCACTGGAGTGCTTCCATGTTCACCCCTTGTCTGCCCGCTGTCCCCGGATTCATTATTCAACAATCGATCTCTGTCCGACGTCCTCTTCTTCGACTACAATTAATCAACATCAATAACCTCGCTATTGAAAACTGCTCATCCTCTACACTTACTTTGAACAGTCTTCCAAAGCAACTACCTCCAAAACACCCACGCCCTATTGAGACAGCACTAACCGTCGTCACTATCAAGCTTACTACACTTATACGCATTGGTAAAACTGAGTAAAGGCAAATCGAGAACCCAAGCAAGGCCGGTCGAGTCGCCATTGAATAACAAACACGGTGGAGGTATGTGTTTTTATCATGAAGATGTGCACATCAACAACGGGTGCCATAACAGTGGTACAAAATTTCAACGTGAGCATACAGCATGAGTCCACGAGAAAGACTACAGACAGTGCGGAAAGGTCAACGTACGAACCAAGTCGAAAGTATAAAGTCAATTTAACGAGGCGACTTGGGGGGTCCATGCCCGGAGGCTAGCGGCGACGTCGGAAGAAACCGAAAAGGCGATGCTGAAAAAAATGACACTTGTGGCGAACTCCATTTCGATAGCGTTCTAATCATCAAGGTAGCCTAGATCATATTTCTGCATTTTCTGCTACCACTCCAACTCACCTTAGGTCGCAAGTCATTCTCGAACGCTTTCAAAGTGATCTCTGAGAGAGCCTTCCCCGAGCCGTATTTAACTTCTACGGCTCTCGCTAATGAGGTTCGGCAAATGGTCGCGACAACGTCGTCGTGTTTTTGACCACCAAAATCCTCCGGCGTGATTGTAAACGACAACCTCACTCTAAAAAAGGGAACAACTCGAGGGATCTTCAACTGCAGGTATTCAATGCAAACTGCTGAGGTCAACAAGACTGTGAATACTTTCCGTTCGAGATCATGTGTGCTTTCATAGGCTCTGACAGCGGTCCAAAAGTACTGCCTGAGAGCCCAACATTGAGTAATGTCAGTACACATTGTGATCGAAGAGAAAAAATACTATCTTACCATCACTTGGCCAGCTCCAAGATATTTCAGAACCGTATCCCTTCAGTGAGCACATCCAAGCAGATAGCGGTTCTCCACTACGAATCGTAGACTGTCAACCGACAAGTAGCGAATCAATGTTAGGAGGACCTCACTCTCGTGCGACGAGGCGTCAGGCCCTGGACCGCCTCATCCAGTGTCATCTGCTTGGGTGAACTTTTCCCCTTCGGAGGTGTTGACAACATGACAGGTCTCTCCAGGTCACTAGCAGTGATTGTAATAAAGCCAGAGACACTCGAGGTAGCTCCTTACGTTAGAGAGCTCGTTCTCTCGAGGAAGTCCTTCAGCTTTCTCCTCTGCTTTTCTGACCGCTCGCTCGCCTGACACAAACCTATACATTGTAGTGCTGGGACAAGAACACGACTCACCCGTTTCACACGAGTGTCGAAATCCAAATCACTTTCGATGCACGCAGACGATCTATGCAGCCACTGAAGCGAGCAAAGATCATGTCGAGGCCCGGAAGCTACTGCAGTGGCCGTGTGCACTCATCTTACTGGGAAACTCAAGGAAAGCGGTGGCTCGACTTGCGCTGCCTTCTTATTCTTCTTGGACTTCTTCTTCTTGGATTCCAAGTGCGGTAGTGCTTCATTCAAGTACTGGCAAAAAAACGAATACACGAAGGATCGTCCAGACTTCGACCCTACTCGTTCCATGTCGTACACCATCTCGTAGGGCGTCATGATATCCATACTGACCTCCGTATCACTGTCATAGAGTATATTGAAAGCTTCATGTAGAGCCTCCGCGCACGGAAGTGCTCCTCCCGCCCCGGCACCGCCCATCTCAATGAGGACCGGTATCGCCCTGCAATCATAAGAACTACGACCGTGAGAATTTAAGCAGGAGATCCAACGCCAAGAGTTCAGCTACCAGCTCAGTTCAGGATTCTCAACAATTGCTCCAAAAATGTACAAAAAATACGAAGAAAATTAGGGAGGGAACTACGATCCTCTCCTTTCTGGTAAGCAAGGGAAAACAAAAACTGTTTACTTTTTCCAAAAGGTGAATACAACAGCGTGATATTCTTTGATGTCGTCCGCATTCAGATTCCCCGAAAGAGGCAACACAGGGCCCTTATACTGGCCTGCCACAGAAAGCAACAGCTGCTATTCAGGTCGAAGGGGGCATCCAAATTCTGCCTTTATCATAGCTTTCCCACTCGAACTCGTGAACACCTCTCAAACTGCATGTCCGCCGTAGGATGAGGTCACCAGACTTCTCTGACTTCTTGGAAGTCTGAGATCAGAGAGTAAGATGATAACGCACAAGGCAGCCCTCACCCGTCGCCCAGATTTCTTCACATTTATTTCAACAGTCGCATCCCGTACATCTCCTAGAGTAATATGCTGAATGGAGAAGGCACGATCAACAGTATTATTAGTGCAACAGTTCTACACTAATTCTCAAATCTTCTGTGAAGATCAACCCGGCGAAGCCTTCACGCTGAAATAACATACTCTTTACACACATCCCAAGACTGAATAGGAGCCCACCCGTCGGATGTCCCCAGCCAATGCAGTGAGAGAGAGCTCATCCGACACGTAGTCCGAGCCGTATGTGCTACTGACAGCATACTCCATAGCGGCCTTGCAGTTGAGCCCAACTGGCGAGATAATCTGCTTCGGCTCGCCTATGAAAACTCCGAGTACCCTGATGATAGGAGATATAATCGCTGAGGAAAACACGCGTACAAGCACTCACTTGAAGTCACTGTTACTGATGTATTCAAGCTCCAACATATACTTAGCCTCGGGTGGGCCAAATATGACCTTGTTCTTAAGTGTTGCCTTGCCAACTGAAAAAAGGGTACCATTTCACCACTGAGCACATACTAGATCGCTACTTACCAGAAGACAGTAAACTCATGTGGATAGTATAGAGACCGTCCGCTCCTCGACAACCAAGCGTCTGCACAGTATAGAGTCAATATTCATATCGCCAGGACACTTTTCTCACTTCAACTGGAGGCGTAGCCTGCGTTATCTCAATGAGAGAGGAGGGCATCTGACCAACACAAAAAGGGACAAGTTTGGAGGCCAATCCCACTAGATATGCTTACCGTCGCAGCACTTCTCTCTGCATTCTGTTTCTAAGAACCAAAACGAGAAATGAGTTTATGACTCAACGAAGTTACATTGAAGAGTTTGAGCGTTCAGACTTACCCTAAACTGTTCGAGCAACTTGATCCGCTTTGATTTTGCAGTCTTCGACGCCAGCTTGGCCATCTAACGCAGAAGTGAGATGAGTCCTTCAGACCATCGAGCACACCCACTTCTGTGAAAGCTTCCTCCAGCTCAATGGGTGACAATTGTGACCGCTGGTTGCTGAAAGCAGCAGCGTAGCCGATACCCTCTAGGCCTGCCTGGAAGATATTAGAACAGGTAGGCGGGGATATTCCTGAGGCGACTGTGATAGGGAAGTACCTGAGGCACCAAGGTAATTTCAAGTAACTAACGCATAGCAATTGTGAAGGAGTTGAAGAACCTACCAATCCTTGTATATGAAACACATCGTGCCAGCCGGCCCCCAAGCCGACTGCCTCTTGTTGGCGCACTCAACTGAGAGGAAAAGGTCAGAACTGAGTAAATGACGATGACGCTGTTGGGAGGTGATACTCATAATGTTGCTTCTTACCTCCACTTAACGACCACATAAGATCAAATCCCGGTACGTGACAAATTTGGCCATCCCAGCAAGCTCCTGAAATTGACAAGTATGAGGGTTCATTAATGACTGTGAGGAATTGAATACATCTCAAAACGACAAGCGATACAAAAGTGATATTGTGTCACCGGTGAGATAGCCTTGTTGGCGATAGTTGACAAGTTGTAGGCCTGAGGAACAAAAGTAGGCTCTTTGGCCGTGGGAGCATGTGCCTTACCTCGAATATGGTGCGGTCACTAATATTAACCTTTGCTCTCATTCCATCACGTCGGGCGAACTAAAATGGCATGCTGCGGAGTTCGTAGTGCGGATAGAGAAGCGCACCTCCCAGCAGAATACCTACCATGATTATATCACTTCTTAGATCATCGTAGCTGATCTTCGAGTAGTCGTCGGGATCATATAAATCAGAAAGCCCCTCTTGTAGAGCTGTTGAGCATACACTTCGTTCGCTGGAGAATCGGTCAGTGCCCAAACGCCATGGGCCATCACTAGCAGATCCCAACGCCAAGGCTCTGTCAAGCCTCAATGGTATTCTCACGCTGTATGGCCTGAAGCAGTGCATCAACGGTGCGCCAGTCCTTGTTCCCTTTTCCTCACCGGTCGTTAACGCGAAAGATTACTTGCCACTTTTCCTCGCTGATCGCATTGAAAGTGGTAGGAGTGTCATATAAATGCGATGGTGGTTCCTTGGCTAACAGCATCATCACATATCATGCACTCAACTCCACTATGTCCCTTACGCCAAGCACGAATCGTCCAATTCACGCTCCTCTGGCCCTGCCCAGACGAGTCCATCACGTAGCACTCAGTGACCTGAACGAACAGCTCTGAGACATAGACAGACGAGTAGGCTCACTTGGAGAGCCTTCTCAGCCAAGTAGCCTAGGGAGTATACCTGAGGCGAATACTCCTCCTGCCAAATGGCAAACCATAGAGTATGTTACCTTCACCGGCTCAGGACTGCTACCAGCCGCGCTCTCTGTGGAGGCGCGTTGTCGGAGCAATTGGTTGATTCGGTTGTCAACGTCGTCTAGCTCATCTTTATTCACTTGATAGTATTGTTTATTCTTTCTCTAAAATAAACAATATCGCAGCTACTCAGAGTTTACAAGCAGATAGGAGCAATAGCGATGCCCCCCAAGGAGCCTTACCCATCTCAGCGGGACCAAACAGTCGAAACACGAGCTCTGGTGGGAAAAGGAGGCCGATACAAGGCAGAGGAGTATGAAGATTCGGCGAACCATATTAGATCAATCGATAAAGGGATGCAACACAGACGGCGATGCGGAGGCAACTCGACGACTCAAAGTAGCAGACAGGAACACCAAACATGGGAGCTACATATGCATACAGTGGGGCGTTAGGGTCTGGATGAAGAGGGCTATTAAATAGCAGTAAACCTTGCATGATTCAACTGAGGGAAAAACAATGAGATATGACTCATATCCGTCGTTCGTAGATATTCAAAAAAATGGCAACAAGCCGCTGGGTTGAACCCAGTAGAACGAGAGCTCGTCAGTCAACTCGGAGGGTGTATGTCGTACCAAAATTATCAGTTCGCCCTGGTCTTTTGTCCTATCGATCGTTTCTATCTCCCGTAACCTCATCAAAGCATCAAACGCACTTTGGAAACAGCCAGCAGTTTGAGTACGACTCGACAGAGGGACGACTACTTCTTTTGACCTGAACAGTCTGCCTACTCACGACTGAGTCTCCCCAGTGCTTAACGATCTTCATCTAGCGGTTGCTGTGGTGAACACCAACCATCGTTTGACTCACAAGAAGGGTTTTGCAGCGGCAAAGACTGCTGTTACTGGTTTGAGGTTGAGCTTATTCTCATTGTTGAACTGCTTAGGTATCACCTTTGTGAACTTACCTAAGTCACCAGAGACCACAGTTCGCCCAAGAGGAGTTACTCACCTGCTTCGAACACTTTCCACTTCAGTGTCACTGGGACGTAGAGCCCATTTTGTTTGGTCTCAAAGTCGAGATGACATAGCCTCTCGTGAGCGTGCGCCTGTTGACCAGTGATACATAACCATTTAGTATTGACGACCAACTTTCAGCAGTTTTTTCCGAAACACGTCCATCAGGATTTTATCGCCGTTTCTAACGTCCGTCCCAGTTTCAAGTTTCAGCCATACTTTGGCGGCATCGAGGAGTACATCGCATTTTGGTAGGTTGTTGAGTGAAGGCACTGAGACAGCGTCTTGATGTATGCTGAGGAAGAGAAGTTCCGGCTGGCGTGGTATGCGTCCGAAGCTTACAACTGGTCAGCACTCATAACAACTACGATCATATTCCCAAGTTTCGGGAAATGGCGATTTAATATAAGCCCAGGATAGTCACCTAGATAGGCGCATTGATAGTAGTTGTCGAGCGAAATACGCCCACTCATTCTGAAGACGCGCCAGCTGAGCAGAGGTTCCTCGTCTGAAGTCGAATCGGGAGAATCGCACTGATAGGAAGGTTCATGAGGAGCTTTTCTCGAGTGAGGCTCCGACAAGATTGCATTCCGAGCGATATAGGCTAGAGTCGGGATCTGGAAGAGTAAATCATCACTCGCCGCAGACTGTGACCAACCTTAGGCTTCGAAATATCTTGTAGGGATGCAGTAGTAATGTTCGAGAGTAGTGAAAACAAGAACCACAGCAGGCGGGAGCGTCTTATGATAGGATGGACCGTCATAGTAAGTTAACATTTTCGAGTTAACATTCCCCCCCCCCACTATTGTTTAACATAACTTGTATCATTTACTCGAGACAGCAATGGTATCCTGCTCTTCACACCATGCACGTACCACATAATTATAATTCCAACTCTTTATGAGGGCCTGACGATGCTCGCAGGCTCCATGACGGTTGAGCCTGTACTGCAGGTGGCCGCGTTCGGCATGTTACTAGATGGCCTTCTAGCATTTAGATGGAGTCTCGGGACACACTCTGGTCGCTTGGGGAGGTCAGCCGAGAGCCTCACTCTGTCTGGGAAGAGCGGTGGGGTTGATACTATCGTAGGATCAGGCAGGTCATCCGCGACACAATGAGCTGGACGAACGGCCTATAGAGAGCTGACGATGAGGAATGTCAGCCGCGGAAGACGAAGGGGCTGTAAGTTCAGCCTGGAACTTTGCAATAGCCATGCATACCGACTTGAAAGTACAAAGTATTACCGAGTTAGGCCTCTAACAACTAGATAACAATGTTATCTCTATGCTGCGCGAGACGAGCAAGCAATCCGGAGGATTTCAGTTTACCTCAGAGTCCTTTAGAGAAATTTCTTCGATGCAGCTCTTTCCCCCGTCTATGGTAAACTTATCATCATTCCGTATTCGGCTTGCAACAGGTTCCACATACCCCGACGAGGCGTTCTAAGAAAATTTATGACAAACGTATCTCATCAAAAAAGGATTCCGACCCGATCTAACTGCAGTTTGTGTATATAGCCGTCATAAGCTCGCTTCACCTTGGCCAACAGCTTACCATATGCTTCGTCCTGTACAATAATCGCCTCCCACAGATCGGAGTATACCTTCAACTTCGCCGCACCTACAGCAAATCTCCAAGCGCCACAGCTTATCTCTATACCCATAGACAGGTCCACTGTTAGCTGGCGTGAGCGTCTAAGAGCACTTGGTTGACGAGGATGGACAGGTGCTGCTACAGACGACGTAGTACGATGATGAGGTGGTCCGGGCCTCGTTTGCCCAGGGATATTGCTGGCTTCTCGTAAAACTCTAGTTTGAGCGGTATGTGGCCTATAGGAGCATTCGTTCTCGCACAAGTATTGACCGTACCACCCACCGGCGCACTTCCCTCGACTGCGGCCTCCTCCTCATCTCAGTGCACAGCGCCGACCGCGGTCTGGTAAGGTTAGGCTTAGTAGAGCTCGTTGGCTGAAGCGTACCTGTGTGAATCTCGTGCATAGAACACCTTTAGATAGCCTACTTGATACGCTGTCGGCTCCAGTATGGCCATCTCCACCTGCTCTCTTCCTCAAAAGCTCTCTATCCATATCACTACACGGACCACTTATGACTGATTCAACTTCAACTACATGCTATCGATCCTACTATGATGCGTGTGTTCACAATGGCAGCGCCCTCTCTACGAGACGGATGTCGTATATATCCTAGTACTATGGAATTGAGTGGTTCGGGCAGACACGGAATATTTTCGGGCGGGCGGTAGTTCTTTTCGCGTAGTGAAATTTGGCTAGGCAGTGAGCAGCTTTGGCTCAGCCGAGAGAAGCGACCCATTGACACATTTGAAACAGCATAACGAGTATGTTGATTGGACAGCTTTTCAGGCATGAAAAGTTTGACTGATGCTGTGAGCAGCAAGCAATAGAATAGGTCCAAATCACCATACAGTTCGACAGTATTGTCCTGACTTCAAGCTGCCGTATCCTGCTTCTCCTCAACTACTGCATGCCTGGAGAGTTGTGGTCGTATTTGGCCTCCCTTGAAATGTGTGGCTGATGCTCGTCACACGCATTCATATTACAGGCCTATTCAGGAATCTATTTGCCGAATAGGGGGGCCGCTATGCCACGGACTATTCCATTCAGGAATCCAAATGCCGAATAGGGGGGCCGCTATGCCGCGGACTATACCATTCAGGAATCCAATTGCCGAATAGAGGGGCCGCTATGCCGCGGACTATACCATTCAGGAATCCAATTGCCGAATAGAGGGGCCGCTATGCCGCGGACTATACCATTCAGGAATCCAATTGCCGAATAGAGGGGCCGCTATGCCGCGGACTATACCATTCAGGAATCCAATTGCCGAATAGAGGGGCCGCTATGCCGCAGACTATACCATTCAGGAGTCCAATTGCCGAATAGAAGGGCCGCTATACCAGCAGCCAGGGAATTCTCATACACGAGTGAGTAGAGACAATAATTATGTACTTGTCTTTTCTTCATTGGACCAAATATGAACAGGCTATCCCGATGGGGATGTTCTTGATCTCATCATTGCTGTTGTGTTGGTGTCACTCAAGGCTAGTACTGTAGTACCAACTCGTGTAATAATAGATGCAGTGGTCCAACTTTGGGACGACAAGGTGGAAAGTGAGTTCGAATATTTTGTAGAATAGCACACTCTGGTAATAAGCCGACTAGCGGGTGTTAATGGGAAGTCCTCTGCTCTAGTGTGCTGGTGTTGGTACGAATGGACCGAGTCTGAGGTGTAGGGTGGTAATAGTGTTTGTTGGTGTAGGGGGAGCCGAGATTGAGATGACGACAGACGGCGATCATGCCCCTAGTAATGCCAGTGGAATACGCTTGTTAGTACTGCACTCGTCTGAGTCTATGACCAAGCGTACGACATGTTCCTTGTGGACTGCTAGTGGGACTCGCTTGAATCAAAGTTTGTCCGAGGAGCTGTGAGGGTGGAGATTGTTTATTGTTCCTGAGTGTGTGTCTGTAGTTACAACGACGATGATACATTTCCTATCAAAAAAAGCGGATCCCGAGAAGCTCTCGGTTTAAGGTCTCCCCAGTAAGGGGTTCCAACATCCTTAACGGATCCTTTTATCCGTTTCCGCACGCCCTAGGCGCGCGCTCAATGCAAATTCGCTATCTTTTATTGATGTTGCAAGGCGGATTCGGTAGAATTGGCTTGTGTTGAGGCCTGCAGAGCGGTAATACGTGTTACCAAGAGGTATCTTGAGCTCGTCAGTGATGGCCTTGAGGAGAAGTCGTCGACCCGGGCGGACGTAACGACGTTCATCCAACTCAAATTACGAGGTGGAAGTCCCCCTCGCACACGAGGGCTTATTTCCTCGTGTTAGCAGCACTGCATGTCGGTCAGTCTCTGACTATGTATGCTGGAGTGCTACTGAGGACGGTGTCGTGTTTAGTGGATCCATGAATCGGAGACAGGTTGCACAATAGGGGACTTGCTCTGCAGCTTTTGCTTGCGTCACGCGTAGCTGTGGCCTCTGCACGCATGCGCAAACGCGGGCTGAAGCCTTTTGTAGCCGCGCTAGTGAGGGAATTTTCTGCGTTTCTGCCAAGCGTTAGCAGGCGAACTAATTTTCATATTTCGGAGTACCTATCGGGGTTCTGGAAGTTAGTCACGTTTGATCTTCAAGGGGTAGGAATCCTGCATGATTTTTTCTCAGGCTTTGTCTGTTGTTTCTATACGTTCCTTCCCCCCTCTTTGTTTCTTCCCCCTTCTACGTAGATAAAGCACTATGTCTGTCTCTACTACGGTTTCCGTACCCGTAACGTTTCACCCTAAGACCTCTGAGTTGCTCAGTCAGCACACTGTTGTTGAGACTGCTCTTAACAGCGCCTCAGGTGCAGGTGCTGCTGCGGCCGAGAAAGCCCTTATGGAAGTGGTCGACCTTTGCCAGGAATATTCCCACTCCTTTGAGCCTATCGGTTTTGCCCTTCTACCTCAAATCTTCCTCCTTCACGCTCACAAGAAGTCCCCTGTGGTGAAGGCCGCTAAAGCTGCTGCCGATGCTATCATTGGGCTTGTCACTGAAGACCGATCTGCCGTCGCAGTGGCTCTCGTGAAGGATGTTGTCATTGATGGTATTAAGTCTGATAAGTATCAGGCTCAGCAGGCTGCTCTCACCGCCCTTACGAGAATCGTCAAGGTCTGCGGTGTTGCCTTGTCCATGTACTTGGATGAGATTTTGCCCGTCGTCTGCACTGTTATCCATCACATCAAGGCCCCTGTCAAACAGGCTGCTCGTGAATGCCTCGAGGCTCTTTGCCTTACCAACGGCAATCGCGATATTCAGCCTTTTGTCCCTACTTTAGTTTCCGCTCTCATCAACGCTAACGAGCTCTCTGAGGCTATCCACTCTTTGGGTGCTACTACCTTTGTCCAGCAAGTCGAGTTGCCTCCTCTTGCCGTTATTGAGCCCCTTCTGGTCCGTGCCTTGAAGGATACCTCAACCAAGACTGACATCAAGCGTAAGGTGTTCGTCATTGTCGACAACATGTGCAAGTTGATCGATGATCCCTCGCATTGCCGCCCTTTCGAGGGATGCTTGCTTGAGCTCCTCGACAAGGCCCGTGATGAAGTTTCCGATCCTGAGGCTCGGGATGTCGCTACTCGGGCTTATCGCACTCTCAAGAGATTATCCGAGACCGCTGCTGACAACGCTCAAAAGGCTGTCACTTTGGACGAGGAGATCGTTGCCGCTACTGTTCGTGGTGTCTTGGTTAGTACTGCCCCTGCATTCCTTGAGGATGTCTCTTACTGCAGCTTCAAGGCTTTCTGCACCGTTGCTCAGCATCTAGCTAAGTCAAACGAGTGGTCTGATGAGAAGTGGGTTTCCTGCCTCAACGAGTATCTATCTCTCTTCACTGAGGATTCTGAGACTGGTGTCGTTGATGTGAGGGATGCTCTTAAGGAGCGTCGAGAGGAAGAGGCTTCTAAGAAGAACAAGGCTCCTGCTGAGGACGAGGAAGAGGAGGGTGAGGACTTGTGTAACTGTGAGTTCTCCCTTGCTTACGGTGCTATGACACTGCTTGTCAATACCCGTCTCCACTTAAAGCGTGGTCATCGTTACGGTATTGTTGGTCCCAATGGTGTTGGTAAGTCAACTCTTCTCAAGGCTATCGGTAATAATCAGGTCGAAGGTTTCCCCCCACCGGAGGAGCTTAGGACTGTCTATCTTGCTCACGATATCGATGGTGAGATGGGTGACATTACCAGTATCGAGTACCTCATGGGCTCTGAGGCTGTCCAAGAGGTCGGCAACGGTGATCGTGAGACTTGTGTTGCCAAGTTGGAGGAGCTCGATTTCACCAAGGAACTTCAGAGGAAGAAGGTCTCTGAGCTCTCTGGTGGTTGGAAGATGAAGTTGTCTCTTGCTGAGGCCATGCTCCGTAAGGCTGATATCCTTATGCTTGATGAGCCTACCAATCATCTTGATGTTGGTAACGTTGCGTGGATCGAGAACTACCTCAACAGCTTGGACAATGTCACTTGCATGATTGTATCCCATGACAGTGGCTTCCTTGATAACGTCGCTACCAACATCATCCACTACGAGGACAGGAAGTTGGTCTCCTATAAGGGTAACCTTTCTGAGTTCATCAAGTGTAAGCCTGAGGCCAAGGCCTACTACGACCTTGGTGAGGTGGTTGATGAGTGGACTCTCCCTAACCCTGGATATCTTGATGGAGTCAAGACTAAGGGTAAGGCCATCCTCAAGATGACCAACGTGTCCTTCCAGTATCCTGGTGCTGAGAAGAAGCAGATCGATAACATCACTTTGGGTGTCTCTTTGGGTTCTAGAGTTGCCGTTATTGGTCCTAATGGTGCTGGCAAGTCCACTTGCATCAAGTTGCTCACTGGTGAACTCAAGCCTAGCTCTGGAATAGTGTGGAAGCATCAGAACATGCGTCTGGCCTATCTCGCTCAGCATGCCTTCCATCATATTGAGGACAAGCTCGATCTCACCCCCGTCCAGTACATCCTTCAGCGTTATGAGGGTGGTATTGATAAGGAGGATGTCACCAAGGTCGGACGTGAGACTACTGAGGAGGAAGAGGCTCTCCAGAAGTCCAAGGTTGAGATCAGCATCGAGGGTGCCGGCAAAGAGAAGCGTGTCATTGACCGTATTGTCCAGCGCCGTAAGGCTAAGAACAACTACGAGTACTTGGTGAGGTGGCAGAATAAGAGTGCGGAGGATGACACTTGGATGGAGCGCGAGAAGCTTATGGCTTTGGGTTTCCGTGCCCAGATCCTAAGGATCGATGAGCAGGAAGCTGTCAAGCTTGGACTCATGCGCCCTCTTATCACCTCTGAGGTCGAGAAGCATCTGAAGAACCTCGGTCTCGACCCTGAGTTCGCTACTCATAACCGTATGAGAGGTCTCTCTGGTGGTCAGAAGGTCAAGGTTGTTCTCGCTGCTGCCACTTGGAATCTTCCTCATATTATCGTCTTGGATGAGCCTACCAACTACCTCGATCGTGATTCCCAGGCTTCTCTTACTAAGGCCCTTAATGAGTTCGAGGGTGGTGTGTTGATTGTCTCGCATAACAAGGACTTCACTGACCGTATCTGCAAGGAGCAGTGGGTTCTTAGCGAGGGCAAATTGAAGCGTGAGGGTGAGCTTGGTACTGAGATTACCGAGAAGCAAGAGGATAAGACCGCTGATGATGATTTGTACGACTCCATGGGCAACAAGATTGAGAAGAAGAAGAAGTTGACTCCGAAGCAGATCAAGCAGAAGAAGAAGGATCGTCTGAAGAGGTGGAAGGCTGGCGAAGAGCTCTCTGAGTGGTCTGGTGATGAATTGTTCTAAACTGTCCATCTCCCTTGTGTAGTGAAGAGTTTGTACGTTCTACAACTGTAGTAGTACAGTACAGGAGTGCAACACTCGCGCAAGTGTCTATATTTTCCGAATTGTGTGTAAAACTGAAGGAATCGTTCTACACTGAATTCATTACTGATGTATCAAGATCTCCTTTCGAGGACGTTCAATACGAAGCAGCTGTATATTCGGCATATTTCTGCCGTCCACTTTTCCCTGCTCAGCTGCTGTGAAACAGACAGCTTTGTCAGCCACTACGTCGAACTATTTACTACGGATGATATTGATTCTTGTGTTGCAGTCACCGTCAAGTTGGTAGTTGATGCTGTTAGCCTATAAATCCCGAGAGATGTGTAGACAAGTTAAGTGGAAGAGAATCCGAACGAAAGTTCACAAACTGTTCCCTTCTGGAAAGAGTTGGAGAACTGTCACAGCTCGTGCTGAATCGACAATGCTGATCTTGGAGTGAATCTCGCTTTGAAAGCTCTGGTTTGAGCACCATCCGAGGGTTATTTATTCTCCTTCGAAGCGATCGAGATAACGAAGCGATACTATACGGTGAACTAACAAAATTCGATACTGACCATTATCGCGTTTCTCCCTGCTATGAAACGAGTAAGGATCATTTACAACATTAACACTCGTGTAACCAAGCACAATTCGTAGCACTGGATATCGCATGTTATCGACCCTTCTTGCATCTTCTACTTGAAAGAAGGGGGACTAGTGAAACCTGCTTCCTTTCATCACTGTTTAAGAATCGCTTCCCGAGGAATAGATAACTATGAGGCACGGTTGTCCCTTCATTAATATTGAAGGGTAAGCAAACTATTAGACAAACACCAGAGATCGTACTTCTAGGGATACGTCCCAATCGGCGACGATTGCTGTGAACAACCTGATTAACAGGAATGTGGGGCACATGATACCGACGCAAGTGAGTAGTGGACAGTGTTGGTGATGCTATCGGATGGTAACGCGCCACTCAAGCCGCAGTTCGAGGGTCCTCCTCAATTTCTCATCATCGCTGTTGGTCACGACAACCTCTAATTCTTATGCTAGTGCCACCACATACTGCCAACGATACCCTAGCTTGACCGTTTATGAATGATTACCTGCCACAGTAGGCCTCCACGGGAGAGAGACGCCGGCAGCACAATGGTTAGAAGGAGCCATGATGGCTCAGACCTTCTCGGAGTAAACCCCATGACGGTCATGTCAGGAACAGAAATTCGGGATAGAATGTTATACCTGGGCCACAGTGAGCGAGGTGTGCGTGCGTTTAAAGTCCAACGCCGGGAACGCGGCTTTGGTAGACGAGCATCGATGCACATTAGCTCTCGAGGGATCAGTCTAGCCTATTGAATTGGCTCGTATATCACGCCGGGGAATGTTGCCCGGGCAGATACTGCTATTCCTCTCGGCATGATCTGTCTCCACGACTGCGGGGGCTGTTTACGACCACGAAACACAAGGACTTCCCACAGCATGTCGAGCACAAGCATCATCTCCGAGACTAGTACATACCCTGGGATAGGCCACCTCTCACCAAAGACTATCACAGTGACCGAGCTAAGCAATGAACATGAAGAAACTGACGTAGTCTCAGCACTGAGAGGGAGTTGCTTGCCACCCTGATCCACCACAACGTAATCCTCGTTCTCCTCGTTAGTCGATGATTAGTCGTCCTCTCCAAAACAATCCACCACATCGGTTGAGCAAGTCGTAGATAACCCAAGTGCCCCAGACAGTCTCTCATCTACATTCCACACGGAAAACGTTGAGCTAATGAGCCCAGTTTTAGGTGAGACAATCTACCTCCCTCTCGATACTCCATAGTGCCCAGTCGCCGTACATGTTTCTGCATCAGCCTTACATACACTCTGAGACTAAGAGTGTATGTAAGGCTGCTCAGACTCTGAGGCACAGAGTCTGAGCTATCGTTCGCTGAGGTGATATTAAGATGATGAACTGCACCGAAACCACCTTCTTCTGCTTATCGGGGTCCAGAGCGGTGGTAATGGGTAGCTAAAAGTACTACTATTACAGCACACCCTACGGAGAAGACGTCTACTCTGACGTTCAATGTTGGATAGGATCGGGCGAAGATGCTCCGCTCCGCTAGAACTTTGTGACATGCTTAGCATTTTTGTATATTCAATACTTTGTATCCTTGATGATTTGATTGATAGCCTTGATGTCAAGTAAGTAATATTCTCACTCTAACTATTAAAGTATTCACGGTAGCACAGGAGAGTAGGCGGACTTCGTTCTCCGGTATCTCACTGATAACAGTGATTTGGGAGCCTGAGTTTCCGATATTAAAATTGGACGTGTCAAAGCCTTTCTTGGGAACCAGGCAAACTCCGCCTGAAAATTTTTCAGGCGTTCTCGTAGGCTTTTCTCAACTTGGGACGGTTGCGGTTTACTGCTTCAGTGAGGCTCGGCCTGATGCATTTACCCCGAAGGATTCGGAATAATTTTGGTGGGTTTATGGTTGCAATCTCGAGTGTTATGCGATAGACTTGTGAAGAATGTATACAGAGAGTTCACTATGAGCTCTAATGAACCATCTAAATTTCCATTTCATTATCGATGAACTCGAACTAGGAACTATTTTGAAGTTCTTAATCGACTCTGGAACATATACTAAATTACAAGATGGAGTTTGGAACCGGAATCGGTTCGTTGATTGATCTTTTACGACGGAACCAAAACCACTCTGTAAGGTTGCCACACTTCCCTGTTTTCCTCCTCTATGTCAAGTAGTGGCAATGTCACCGCAATTGATGAGAAGGTAACTGAGTCGCCGAGTGACTCCGCTGACACCTCTCTCCTCGGGCCGTGGTTGACATTACCTATCTTATCACAATGCTGTGGGGTGGCGTATCTTTTCGCTTGGTCGGCTATGTATTACCCTCAATTATACCTCAACTACAAGCGGAAATCTGTGCAGGGATTCTCTCTCGATTTGTGGTTGTACAATCTCTCTGGTTTCCTCGGGTATGCTGTATACAACTGCTACCGAGCATACATGCAGATGGCATTCGACTTGCCTAGAG